TGTTGGTGATTCAATGTTAAGGAATAATTTTCACAACTTTTCATTCTTGTAATAGTAGTAGTAGTGTTGAGTATTGTTAATGGTTAATAATAATAATATATTGGTATTTGTTTTTTATTTTCATCCTTAATATGAATTTATTCAGAGAACAAAGCCATTTATTTTAAATGTTAAGGAAACCACTGCGCCCTATTAATATAAAAAAGACAGTTTCCTTCTTTGATTCATTGATGCTTAAGAAGATCTATGGATAACTCTATAATTTGTGAAATGATTGCCTTTTAAACATTAAGAGACAGTAATATATCTCTGATCAATTCTTGGAATGTTAATTTGTTTGGATGAGATCTTATTCAAATAGATGAGTGTGTGATTTAATCTCCATAAATTGTGGGGTATAAACTATTGAGTTTTATCATATAACACAGTTATTAAACCCATATAGGATGATATTGAATCAATTGGATGATGATTCTGTCAATATAGATGATCAATGAATGGAATATAAGTTGTATGAATTATTGCACTTATTGATGAGAATTAATCAGCACAATGTGAGGTATCTGTTTGGAAACCTCCCAAATATGAAATCCATCTTTAAAACTCACAAAAAAATGTCATCACCCTCTATCCCACAAGAGACAATTTTTTAATATGATTATTAGCTCACTGGTGCGTGTTGGTAATAATAACACATGTAATACATGTAATATAATATTTACATCGTATGATGATGGAAGATAAATGCATCGCATGTATCATCAAGTGGTAGGAACCAACACATGCATTGATTTGATACGAACAGATATATAAGAGAAATAACAAATGTCAAACAAATCACTCCATCATTGTTCATCACATCATTTTTATGAGTTGTAAAGGTCCTTTCGTAATTAATAGTACTAATAATGAGATTATTTCACAATTTTAAGCCTATCCGTTTGTAGACTCTTTCAATTTAGTATAGAACGAAGTGACAGACCTACCTGCAGCAGTGCATTGTTTTTCACCAACCACGCAACCAACACATCATCAATTTCCTTGTTTTCTGCAGAAACTCAACACCACTTTCAACAAATCAACATTGGATGTGATCACATGAAAATGATGAGTGAAAAAAATCATTTCAAATCAATTTCTCTTATTAGCTAGCAAACCCTACACAGTGAGTACTCTCTGTGTGTCCATTGAATAGTCAAGATATAATCAAGAGTTGGCCAATAATTGAGTAGCATCAATAGTCAAGCACATTCAAATCATTTTATATTAGGTAAATATATGAAACTATTATGAAAGGCTTACAATAGAATTAGTTTAATTTACAAAAACTTTGATATATTTCAAACTTGAGTTTACATTTGGCATGTTCTAAATATGGTATGAGTATATAACTTCAATACTTCTCAACAACCACAACAATAACCACAGCAGCAAGACAAAAACAATACAACAATCAAAAAATTGAAGAATAATTACCACAATCAACATTACAATGAAGAATAATACTAATAGAGACACTTATAATAGTAATAATAATACTACTACTACTACTACTACTACTAATACTAATACTTGTACTAATAATAATAATCATGGGATTAGACGGAGTGATTCAAGCAGTAGTAATAACAACATGTCATTCATTGATGAAACTAGTAATGTTACAATGAAAGTTAAAGTAAAAAAGAGAAATCATCAATTGAATATTAAACAATCGAGATTGAGAAAACCATTACAAAATGATAATTTACTGAAAAATTACTTTGAATTTGATAAAAAGCAACAATCAAACGATTTGACTGTTTA